AGTAGTAGTAGTAGTAGATGTAGAAGTAGTAGTAGTGGTGGTAGCAGTCGTAGCAGTCGTAGTAGTCGTAGTAGTCGTCGTCGTCGTCGTCGTAGTAGTAGTGGTGGTGGTGTAGTAGTAGTAGCACGAAATGGAGGAGTAGTAGTGGTAGTAGTAATAATAGTAGTAGTAGTAGCAGCAATATATCAGTAGTAGCAGTAGCAGGTAATCAATCTTAGAGGAGAGGGGGTGGCAGGGGGGTGGCTCCCCCTGCCCGTTGACTAATTGATTTTCATACCAGATACGGCCCGAAGTCGCTTGTTGACTTTTCACGTCGTGCCCACTGCGTGCAGCCGGAAGGTCAAGATCTTCGACTTTGCAGAGAAGCTGCCCCTTGCTGCCGGTTCCTGCTGTAAGCTTCCATCCTGAGCTCTGGCTTGACAGTATCATCTCTGATTCACCTGGCTGTTCAACTCTGCATACGGAGCTGAACCAAGCCCGGAGTAGTCTAGACACGGCGGGGTGTGTTCTCACATTGGCTGGACCTCATCATCAAACCCGCTGTCTGAGCTGAGCTGCTTTCCCTTTGGCTGTCCTGGGCACGCAATGGGTACACAGGATATCGGGGGCAAGGATTCCCTCGCCGGATTTTCTTGGTAACCCGTCCTTTCGATCTGCAGGTATCTTGGCAAACACAGCCTTAGCCCGGCTTGAGGTGCCACTGTCGGCTCTGGCCCAGGCTGCCATGGCGTTGGAGCCAACTGTGCGCAATCCACGCCTTCAGCCGGCACGTGCCGAAAGCACAGACTGTGAAATATCTTCACTCGGTGACTGGTGACTAGTGACTAGTACACTACGTTGACCTCGGCTTCCTCCACAGTGGGTGCCAAGCTTCCGGTTGGCGCAACCACCACTTGCAGCTCCTCGCCATCTGCCACGTGCAATGCAATGTCGGAGGCTCGGAAGGCCCAAGGCACGGAAACTAGGAGCTTGTGCAGAATCAGCTTGGTGTGTGAAGGCCCTGTACAGCCGCGCGGCCCAGAATCAGGCGCCGGGAGGACCGGATAGCCCAAGTTGCTTGTGAGGGTGCTGTGCGGTCTACTCTCTGCATCTCGAACGTAACAGTGAAGGTAGAGCTCGTCATCCAAATCAGGGATACAGAAAGGGGAGCCAAGCGCACACCTCCAGCCCGGCACTTTGCGGGCATGGCTTCGTAGAAGCGTACCATTGTTCGAAACCTGACTGCAGCATGAAACGACCCCAATCGTCACTGTAACGATTGCATTCGCACCTGCTGGATCCTGCTGGACTTAATGATACCCTTCAGCAGCAACAAGCAGCAAGAAGAAATCATTTATTGCTAAAGTCTCCGTGTAAGAGCACACAGGAAACGTCCTCCAGCCGCTAGCGCTCGGCAAGCTTCCAACAGCATCTCGTGAGAGTCGTGTGCTTTCAGGGCATCGAAACCTCAAAAACAACGCCGCATCCGTAGGTGGCATGCACTACTGCTATTGATGCGGGAATACCGAACTATGAAGCCCCCCTGATTAGGTATGCTGTTTGCCCGCCGCTGCCCGAACCGTCTTTATGCTGCGGCGATTTGATGGCCCACTCGTCCGGGCCAGCTCAGCAGACTCAACGGAGCCGAATCCTATCAGACCCGATGATCACAACTGTTCCCTGAATTGGGCTGGATTCCTGTCAGCTCTTTGGGCCTGGCCTGTCAACTTCAATAACTCAACAACTCCTCAGGGCCGGCCTGTTCAATAGTCTCGCCATCTGCTCACATACTACAACATTCAAAGAGCGCCGCTTCTTCGATTGATCCAAGAAACAGCCCTTGTCCAGAACGGCATCGAAGATCCCCGACCGCAGGGGCAGCAACCGTGCGTCAAGCGTGGCGAAGTCGGGGGCCTCGGATCTGGCAGCCGCCGCGGCTTCGGCAGTCGCCGCAGGAGAGAAGTCTGTCCCCAAAGCTGCGAAGCCGCTGCTTGCCAGGCCGGGGACCAGGGAGAAGTTGCCACAGCCCAGCTCCAAGACGAGGGCAGGTGGGGCCAGAGCCAGGGGGCCGAGGATGCCATCTGAATCGCAGAGGTGACGCTTTAGCTCAGGCCAGCCGAGATACCACTCCGGCGCTCCGAGTTGATTCCGATATCGCTGCTCCCAATACTCCTGCCTCGAGTAGTGCGGAAGGCTGGTGTTGTCCGCCGTCGCCTTCGAACTCAAAGCTTGCTGCCACTCTTGCGGGCATGTGTGATAACGCTGAGAACAACAGAGGCTGAGACTCAATGAGTAAAACGTCTGGGAAAGAGGTTGGTGATTAAGCAGCCCTTGTGCGTGCCTCCGTGGTGGGCATCCGACTCTTCCGGGCTCTGCCGGACCATATATGGCTGCTGTAAACAGCTTGCACAAGGACAACATACGGCAACTACGTCAGAACCTCAGACCGCACCTATGCAGAGTGTGCCGTGATGAGTTCACGTACAGAACAATACACTCCTAAACTCTGCGGTATCCTGAGACATTGGGATCTGCTCTCCCTCTCTCTGGAGTGTGTACTGTAGAACCCATGTTAGCGATTGGACCTCCTTCGACGAGGACCTACAGCTGGCCGGGTGCAGACCGTCTGGCTTAAAGCAGAGGTGACACATCAGCGTAGCGCCTAGCAACACCGATGGTGTCTGGAGATGTCTGGAGGTGACAGCTGATGTCACTGCACATGGCCAGGGGAATCATCCTCAAAGCCTAGGGAAGGAATAGCGAATAGGCACGTAGGCTTTTGTCATCTTCGCCAGCTTCTCTCTCCTCCGAACGCCACTCTTAATGGCCCACCGCCGCTGCGCAGCCCAGGGAGCCTCGCAGGTTCCCCGTCTGCATGTTAACATGCTGCGTGGAGTACGCTTGTGTGCTGAACTCCATCCCTCTGCAAACATCTCCGGCCTTTGTGAGGCGTCCTGCCCGACCACGCAGTACCTTCTTCAGCTGAAGCTTGCTACTTCGAGGAGTCAAGCTAACATCTCTGACAAACCTTGTCGGCTCGGCTTGCTCCTTTCAGGGTGTGGTGATGTTTCCTGCCAAAAGACCACCTCGACCACCTCCACTTCCATGAATTCTGAAGAAGTTACATGCGATCAGAGCCTGGCAATTGCTCCTGAGCCTTTGCATGAGTATCGACGAAAGTAACATCCGACCCTTCCTGAAGCCGGGCCACTCGAGGCATGCGCCGCGCTACGAGCACCTCGAAAGGGGCCTGAACGCTGCCGGAGCGAAGCGCCTCCAGGGCTCCACAGAAGTTTTTCACAAAAGTCCGATGCGTCGATGTCCCTTATCTTGGCTCCTTGCTTAACGAAGGCTTCAACAGAAGGTTGCTTGAAGTTTGCGGGACGCCATCTTGACATATGACTATCTAGATGGAGAAAGGCGGATGGCGATGTCGGCACGCCTTCACGTCCATCTCGAAGATTGGAAAACGATGCAACTTAAGCTCACGAAGGATCTCGGCTCGAAATCGATATACGTTTTGCTTAGCGGTCAGATCGTTTTGGCAAAGCCGCGGACCTCGATGAGGCCGCTGGCGTGGCGTTGCTCCACGTCCACGGCCCAACCACCTTCTACCCGCGCCACACGGCCCACCTTTGCCTCAGTTAGTCGTCAAAACATGCTACTGTACCTGCTCGGAGTGCGGCAAACGACGATTTTGACGTTTCCCGCGTCGGCCGCCGCCGAATGTCTGCTGTCAAACAAGACATTCATGCCCTCCTGCAGCCCAGTCTCCAGCTTGGGCATCATGGACCCAACCTTCCACAGTTGCAGTGGAAGGTGCACATGATGAGTCGAAGATTGCACCAGCATGCGGCATGCTGCATGCTGCTAATCGTTGCCTTTAGCTGGGGCCAGAAAAAACAAGTTGCCGTGAGGGCCAGGACATGGAGCTTCCTTTTTCCCGGATTTGTTCGACGTTACGTCTGCCAAGGAGCGATTCGCTGGACTTCACCCTCGGTGGTCGCCACTAGGTGTTCCGGATCGTTGGCCAACAAACCTGAATAAGGCCGTGGCCAGTGACAACTGGCTCGGACAGGGTTGTTGAGGCGAGTGGGAATTGATTCCCTCGTGCTTTGACGAGCAGCAAACGAACCCACGGCGCCCGCTGAAGATCGAGGGACGATCACGGAGCGCCTGACAGACATAACAAAGGGCATAGAGGCACCATGCCTTCACTCCACTCCCCTCCACTTGCCCAATCGGGCCCACTCGTTCCCCACCCTCCCCTGAGCCAGAGCCTGCTGGAGGTCTGCATGGCGACTATCAAGGACAGCCATAGCCTCGAGTCGCACATGTCAACTACCGGGGTGCTACCATGCGGAACTGAGCACCCTGTTGGAGAGACGCGGGGAGCTGCGCAGAGAAGGCGAACTCTGATCAGGTAAGACAGGCTGATCAGACATAAGGCCCAGCCACGGGAGAACCCGTTGCACAGGCTCCCCGCGTAAACAACTGCCACAAATTCTTTCTTCTCACTCGCCGAGGCTCTGAAGCCAGGATGGCCGGCCCATTCTCATCGAGCAGGGTCTCAGCATCCTGTTTCGCTGCGGGGCTTCGGAGCGCAAGTACTGAGTTGCGCGAGGGACCCCGAACCGGCGCTCAAAAACTGGACCGCACCTCCAGCAGCGGATCGTACTCCTCCGGCTGGACACCTCTGGGCTGCCGAAAGCACAACGGCATTGAGTACCAGCGGCCCTGAAGCCCAGGGGCCGAAGAGTTGCTCTAGAAGGCGGCTCCTGAGAAAGGAGAATGTCAGGCTCCGAGGCTTTGCCGAAAGCACCTCTTGAGGCTTCAGGTGCTCACGATATGATGAGATTAGAGACTTGGAGGCCAAGCGTCACCGCGGCGTGGTGGACGTCAAGCGGCCCCGGGGCGGCGATCCTGTGTCACTGTGTACAGAACTCCTTGGATCGGGAACTGAGAGGTTTCGGGTTGCTGCCGAGGAGCATCGAAAACTCGTGCTGGGTCACTTGACGGACACGCTGCACGTATCTTCGCTCGCCGGAGTCGTACAACGTGATGCAAGTTCCTCATGGAAAACGCGGGTCATCAGTGGTATGACATATCTGATTGGACAGTCATTGAGTCATTGATGTAAAAGGCGATTGGGCCTAGATGCAGAGTGGAAATATCTAAATATCTTGGAATCTTGGATGTTCAGCTAATTGTGCAAAGGAGGTCCTGCGAAACTGCATAGCAGATCGCCGCTCGAGTGAAGTTAAGAGACAGCCAAGTAAACTCGACTTCGCAACTGAGCGACGCCATGCAAGAACGAGATCGCGATTGTGGCACTGACATCCAGCTTCTGCCGAGGCTCCCCCGCGGCCAGCGCGGCCGGTTCGACCAGATCTGTGCACATACTGCCTGGAAGAAGCGACCAAACATGACCATGATTCAGCATGTTGGAACAAAGACCCGACAAGTAGGTGACCCCATACAACCTGAAGGGATGTGGTGCTGCCAGGAGAACGCGGCATCCTTCGGCGGATGGAGCTGCATCACCTTTGCAGAACTAAGCCACGAAAAGCAGCACGGGTAGAAGCACCAGCAACAGCCGGATCCTCAGTGTGGGAACAGCAACAGGAATGTGGTTGTGCTCGTCGCCAGCAGCGGCAGCAGCAGCACCAGTTAACAAGAGTAAACAAGCGGAAACTTCGTCTCATTCGTAGTCGTCGTCGAATTGGTGACGAAAACGGTGCGGGAAGCTCTGCTCCAACTGCACTGTTGATTCACTTAACTATCCTGGCCTCGGTAACAGCTCGGTAACCATAGTTTGACATGCATTTTAAAGGTAATGTGACGCGAGAGCAGAACTTATGGCCTCTCTGCCGGATTCTCACCGAGTTGCCAAATTCACGTCCGCGAAGTCCACGCCACGAGCGATCACATCTGTGGCAACAAGAACATCAAACCTCGACAAGTCATGCATGGAACTGATTCTGAAAACTGGTTACTAGCCAGCGATTGGTTACTCCAGGCTAGGCCCTCTGTTGCAGGAGGGCAGGACTGGAATGCCCCAATGCATAAATATAACGTGAGCCGAGCAGCTCCTTGTTTGCGAAGCTGGTTAGGACGGTGTCCCTCTCCTGGCAGAAATCCCTCTGATACCCTTCCAGTCGCTTACCCTCCAGGAATTTCAACAATTACTGGACCATGCAACATCCTGTAGGATCTGCACCCCGCAGCCTGTGGGTGTGAGATGTACTTGGTATTGACGCACCATTTCTCGAAACTCGAACACTTCAACCTTCTAGCGACGGTGTCTGCGAGAAAAATCCAGAAAGACTTGCCGGCAAACCTTCAAAACCATGTCCGTGCTTTTGACAGTGTCTTGGCCTGAGGCTGTCGGAACCTCTAACACCCCAACCTTTCTTCCCAAAATAAACATTCGTCTGCTGACTGTCACTACTGGCATTCAACCGCCATCAGCTTTGTTGCCACTGGGCGATAACTGCTACCGGAATTGCACAGGCATTCCCCGAAGCCGTGCCAACAACACCTGGCAAACCTACTTGGATGCCAACATGTAGACGAGCTCGTCTACAGATATTGCATGTGTGCCTGCTTTGGCTCTATTTATATCGTATCAACATATGAGTATGTATGCAAACATGTACGTCTGCTCTTGTATAGCATGTCCCCCCCCCCTGCATCACCTGCTGTTGTTTTTTGTTGATATGACTGCAATTATTTCTGTGCCTGGTTGCTCCACAGCTGGAGATTCCATGATAATGGATGTCCACGGTCGTATGACAACTTTCGACTTACACGTGTTCATGCCGCAAAAGACTACAATAACTTGGATTCAAGGCATTCTGGTTTCTGCAAGCTAACGAACACTTTGGTCATAGAAGCTTACGAGTGGTCAAGCAGGCCTGGCTGCTCTGCTACCGGTCACACTTGTATAAGCCAAGTGCTGCAGGAGGTCGATGTGTCTCTAGCAGAAGTCACAGAAAGGGGGTGGCTTTTCATCAGGCTACAAGTCAATCACTGAGAACAGACAAGTAATATGCAGTCGTCGTCGCAGCAGTGGTAGTAGTCAGGGTGCTGCCGGGAATCTAGAATCGTCACGCCGAGCAAGCTGACAGCAATCTTGGTACTCTTGATCGGGCGGCAAATTCTGGGGAGGGGAACAAGATGACGCGTAATCTTGGTAATCTTGGCGCGGAGGGCCGGAGTGCGCGTAATTTTGGAAATCTTAGTACTGTGTTTTTCAGGGTCCGGGGCAGCTTTTCTTCATAAGGCACTCGACTGCTAGTGGTTCAAGTGGTCCAAGATTACATAGCGCTCAGGGTGCACTCCTAAACCCTACCCTAAAACCTAATCTCTAAACCCAAACCCCCAAACCCTATGAACCCTCAACCGATGCACGCCGGTAACCCTTTGCAACAGGGCTCGTTTTCCAGCAGCCCGGTCTAGCCGTTAAACACAAACTCCACTAACCTACAGCAAGGAGAGCATGCGCAGTGACACCTCCGAAGAAACTACTTGAAACTTAGGCTCTACTAGACTCATGGATTATTTCGGTGTGAAAGGACGTGAACTCCATGACATAGGAATTGAAAACCCACCGCCCCAGGAAGATCTCAAAAAAGCGGTAACCCTAAACCCTAAAACCCGAAGCCCGGAACCCTAAACCCCAAACCCTAAACCACACACCGATGCTCGCGCCGGGCGCGCCCCTAAACCCCAGGCGCGCCCCGGGCCCGCGTAAGACTAAAGCCTAAAAGTAAAACCTCAAGCCCTGAAGCCCTAAGCCCTGAAACCTAAACCCAAATCCCGAGATCCTAAAAACCGATACTTGCGCCAGGGGTGCCCCTAAACCCTGCCCTAAACGAATGATTTTGGGGTTCGGGGGTGGTAATCTTGGTATCGGCGGTGGTCCTGGTCAGCAAGTGGTGCAAGTGGTCCAATCTGACCAACATTAATACCAACCAGACCCAAAAAACTACCAACATGACCAAAATGACGTGTAATCTTGGCCCTTTTTGAGCGAGTCAGATTATCAAGATGACGGTCATTTTGCCAGCCACCAAGATTTCCAAGATGACGACAAGAGTTAGCGGTTCTCGATTCCCGGCACGATGTAGTAGATGTAGTAATAATAGTAGTAATAGTAGTAGTAGTCGTCGTCGTCGTCGTCGTCGTGGCCGCATCGCAGGAGTAGTAGTAGTAGTAGTAGTAGTAGTGGTAGTAGTAGTAGTTGTTGTTGTTGTGGTAGTAGTAGTCGTCGTCGTCGTCGTAGTAGTTAGTGGTAGTAGCAGTAGTAGTAGTAGTAGTAGTAGTAGCAGTAGTAGTAGTAGTAGTAGCTAATGGGTCGATAACTGTCGTGCGTTTCTG